GGCGGAACGGCGCGGTGCCCGGGGTGAGCAGGGTGCCGAGCTTGCGCTCGATGGCGGTCTGGTCGGCCTTGACGAGGTCGGCGGGCGCCGTGTCGAGGTCGGCGACGAGCCGCGACAGCCACTGGAACGCCATGAGCTCCTGCCGCTCCTGCGACGGCTCGTTGCGCAGCCGCGCCTCGTCGAACCCGAAGCTCGCGGGCCGCGCGGCGGCGGCGGGCGCGGCGGGTGCGCTGCTGCCGAACATGTCCATGTTGATGTCCGTGGTGGCGCGGTTCGGCGGCGCGCGATCACGGCGCGTCAAGGGTGGGGCCGCGTCAACGACGGATCAGGGACGCGGGCGGCGGGGAGGGGCCCGGCGGATCGTGATACGTTGCAAGCACTGGATGGCGTGCCGTGGGGAGAAGGGGAGGAGAGGCGATGCAGCGGCGGGGGAACCGCCGAACGCCAACGCTAACGCACCGCTCGCCGCGCGTCGAGTGGCGCCTCTCACCGCACGTGAGCTTCTTTAGCTCATTCTCCGATCAATCACACGATATATCACCCGCCCACCCTTCCCTCACGACGAGAACAGCATGCCGACAAAGTTGGCGTAGTCGAGGTACCCCGTCTCGAGCGCCTGCGGCGCGACCTGCGACAGGAGGTCTTCAATGTCCTCGCGCTTCATGAACCGCTCCGGGTTGCCCATGCGCTCCATGACCGTGAACAGCATCTCGGTGCGGATCCGCCCGATGGGCGTGGCCGGCCCGCCCTCGTCGAACAGCCGGAACGCCTGCATCAGCGCCTCCTGCGGCAGCGACGTGGTCACCTTGCGCGACATGGCCGTGATGAACGCTACACTCGGCTGCCTCGGTCAGCTTCGGGCACGCTCTGTGACATACGAGACGCGTACTCTCGAGATCAATCTCGTCCTTGTTCGGGTCCGACACAATCTCGTTGACCATGATCTCGAGCTCGACCTTGGACGCGCGGATCCCGAGCGTCTGCATCAGCAGCTCGAGCTCGTCCTTGGAAATGGTCCCGCCGCCGTCCTTGTCGACAAGCCGGAACACCTCGTACAGCTCGTAGTACTCGCGCGGGCTGATCCCGATCGTCTCGCACAGCGCTGCCGCCTCGGGGTCCAGCGGCGGGAGCGGCTTCTCCTCGACGGGCGGCGTGACCACGGCGGGGACCGACGTGGTGCTCGCCGACTGGCTGTTTTGCAGCGTCGACCGCCGCAACCCGCCACTGCGACCGGGTGCGCCGGTGCCCGAGTTCGGCATGTTGCTCCCACGCCGCGAGCTGCCGTTGCTACCCGTCCCGCCCGACGCGGGCGCGCCGCGCGGGGGCATCATGCCGCCGTTCCGCAGCGCGGCGAGTGCCGCAGGACTGAGCGTCATGGGCGCCTGCCCGCCCGCGCCCAGCGTCCCGCCCGAGAGCGAGTTGTACGACACGGCCGTCGACCCGGCGATGCTGGGCGACCGGCTCCGCCCGGGCGGCATCCCTGGGATTGCGAGAGTCGTGCCGCCCGTCGATCCAGTGCGCGAAGTGCTGGGCTTCATTTTCAAGTTGTTGGAGTCGAATCGGGGTTGCGTTTCCTCCGAGTCGCAGCGCGCCACACGTCACGACGTGGCGCAACGCGTCACTTTGTCTTCTCCAAGCTGCGCACCGAGCGCGCCGGCTGACGCACAAAACTGTCAAATTATACTTGAGGCACCTAGACGCTTCGCGTCTGGTTTTCAATCGAGGGCTAAAGCCCGCGCCACGTTGGGCGCTTGCGCCGTTTCGCGCGTCGCAGCTTCGCGCGTCGCAGCTTCGCGCGTCGCAGCTTCGCGCGTCGCAGCTTTGCGCGTCGCAGCTTTGCGCATCGCAGCTTTGCGCATCGCAGCTTTGCGCGTCACAGCACAGCGCGTTCCCCTGCTGCGCGATGCGCGCGCTTCAACAAAGGATGGTGCGGTTGGTCGCTCGCGTTGAGTGGCGGCAGGGCACCGTCATGTGTCACCGGCGCGGCATCAGCAATCGCGCTGCAGCGAGGGCGCCAAGCAAGCTCCTGCATGGCGCTCGAGGCGATGGCCGTCGCGGCAGGAGCGCGAGGCGTGGATCGATGAGTTCGTCTCAGTAAAGCTATTTGAACCACGCGACGAGTGGCGCGTCCACGATGGCGGCCACGGTGCTTCATGTGTTTTGGGTTGAGAAGGCGCTCGGCGAGCGATCCGGTGACGCTGGTGCGGAGCCCGCCCCCGATCTAGCCCTTGTCGACCGCCGCGAGGGCGTTTACGATGCGGACGTCGTCCAGTGCCGCGGAGACGATTGCGCGCGAAGAGTGTGCACTCAAACGCGTACGCTTGAGTGTCGGCGACCTTGCCGCCAGTTTTTGGGCATTCGGCGCAGTTGGGGGACTCGTAGCGGTGCGGCCAGAGCTGGTGCAAACAGCCGCGGGTCGGCAGCTGGCCTGCGAGCGCGCGGAGCTGGAAGCACGGGAGCGAGTTCGCGGTGAGGGACTCGCTCGGGTGGATGCGGCGCGTGCTGCCCCGAAGCGCAGTGACAAGGGCTGGGACATCGATGGGGGAGGACGTGATGCCAGCGGACGCGGTCAGAGCGAGCAGTGGGTCGTGTCGCGCGTCGTGCAGGCGGCGGAGAGCGCGTCGCGGGACTGAGTTGAAGTCGCAGCCGCGCCTGCGCGCCGTGAAGGGCGCATCGAGGTCCGCGCGGACGGCGGCGGCGATTCACAGCGGGAGATGCGCGGCAGCCCTTGTTGGCGAGCGCTTCGGCCTCTTCATTCTCCAAGTTCACGGCGTGGCCACGGACCCACTCGACCTGGAGCTCGCGGGCCGCGATGATCCAGCGGATCACGGCTTACTCGAGCGAGCACGTTGCGCGAACCCGCACCCACGCGAACAGCGAGTTCCAGCGATCCGCTCACGAAGACGTCTGCGCCCGCTGCAACGTCTGGCAAACCCAAGCCACGGAGCGACCCGTCCGTGTAACGGACCGCAACTCAAAGAGCGGATCTCTCGACCTCGCAGTCCTCACTCGAACTCACGTTCATGGGACCTCGCAAGTCGTTCTCGGTGCAACCGTTGAAATCGCGCCCACGTCAACGAGCCTGCGCTAGCGGCTCCCAGGTGAACCGCGTCGTTTAAGGATGTGCACCGAACACGGGCTCCGTTTTCCAACACGCACGCCAAGCACGGGCTCCGTTAGCGGCTTACCGCGCTTCTGCACCTCTCACGCTTTCATGTGCTCGGAGTCTCGCGGGCCTGGTCGAGGGTCGGTGCAAAGCGTTAAACGTTCCGCGATGGCGAGCGGAGCAGCGTCAAGCGACGCGCTTCCGGGGGTTGGGCCGAGGCCGACCACGTGCACGGCCAGGACGCGTTGCGCCACAGCGATCACATGACAAACGACGCGTCTGTCACGCGTTTCGAGGACATTCACATGACGAGAGGGCGACATGCTCACGTGAGCGTCGGCACCCTATCCGGCCGCGACGCGGTCTAGAAAGAGGGCTTTAGCCCTCGATTTCACTCACAAACTCTTTCCCCGCAATAGTGATGATGGTCACCGACGCGGGCGCCCCCGTCACTTGTCCCGCCGCCGTGCTCTTGCTCCGAGTCGTCACACCCGGTGCCGCTGCCCGCACCGAGTAGCTGCTGTTCTGGCACACGAGCGCCAAGAGGAACGCCTCGTTGTACGCGGCCGACCCGAACAACGTATCGGTGACTCCGAGGAACAGCGGGACTGGGCGCGTGTGTTTCGTCAGTGTGAAATGGAGGGGTTCAGGCGGACACGGACGCACCGAGAACTGCCAGCGTCATGACCATCTCGAACCCAAAGTAGACCGAAGTGTTGAAGAACGGCTTAAGGACGCTGAAGCGTGACGCGATCTGCGGATTCGCCTTCGCCATGGCCATGAATGAGAGATCCGTGAGGAGCGCCGGGACCGTGTAGTACGCCACGGCGAGCGCGTCCATGATCCGGTGCATGCGGTACGCCATGTGCTCGTACGCGAGCGACGACACCCACCCGGCCTGCGCGTACGAATACACGTGGCAGATCACGGACGTGCACCCGATGGCGAGGTACACGACCAGGTACGCGTGCCGGTAGCTATGCAGGTCGTGGAGCGACGGAACGAGCACCGTGGATCGGAGGAAGACGAGGAACACGACCACCGCCGAGTTGAGCCGCTTCAGCAGCTGCAGGACAACGGTGGCCACGCCCCACGATGGCCACGTTCCGGACGTGTAGAACCAGGTGACGTGGCAAGCGAGAAAGGCAATGTCAATGATCCCGGCCACGACCGCGTAGATTAAGATCGCCGTCTGCACTCTGCGACCCTTGTTGCGCTGCCACACGCAGTTGAATCTACCAAGTGACAGGCGTGAGGTTTTGCATCCTCCGCCGTAATCGGTGCCGCCGACCATACATGTTGACGTTGGTGATGAGCGACGGCAGACAGGTCGAGAGCCCGGCCAGCCGGCTCAGCAAGAGGACGGGGCTGATCCCGAATGCAACGTGCTCCATGGTCGATTGTCATTGCATTGAGCGCCAAGGCTTGGAGCGACGAGGAAGCGGGTCGGGAGAGTCGAGGTCTCGATTGCTTCGAATATTCCCCGCGTGGGAGACATCCTACACTGCATCAGCAGACGGGATTTGCGTGAAGGCGACCACTTCCAGAGTCTCCCATTCGGCGTGTTCCAGGGCTGCGGTGGACTTGCGCCCTTGTTCAGCTCCAACGCGTCCTGTCGATCCAGCGCAGGATTCGTCTATTCTTGCGCACGTTTGTGCGGCTGTCAAACCTGTGCTGTAGGTAGCAGGAACGTCATGGCGGATCCGTTTTGTCCACTCTCACATCATAGCAACCTGGTGGTTCGGAGCAGGCCTCATGTTTTGAGTGTGACCGTGTTATTAAAATCGCCACCTTGTGGCGCAACGCGTCACAGCGACCGACGAACACGGCGTGCGCGCCAGGTCAGACCAAACATCAGAAACAATATGTTGACGCTGTACACTCGATCATCAGAGGTTCCTTAGCTCAGTCGGTAGAGCGCGGGACTTTTAATCCTGAGGTCACGGGTTCGACCCCCGTAGGAATCGTTTTTCGACTAGTTTCGATTAGTTTATTTTTCGATTAGTTTAACTAGATTGATTATTATCTCTGACTGAGCTCCCTCCCACCTCCCAAGTATCCTTAGTGAATTGGGGAGAAGCCGCTTAGGACGGTCGATCGTGCGACGCGTCGTCGCTTGACCCGCGTGGCGTTTCGCGAGGGGAGCGCTCCACGCTCGCTCCCTTGCCACGCTTGATCGATTCGATGAAAAGCCATGAATCCAGAACAAAACTCCATGCAGCTGAATCTACCGTCGGACCTGTGGACCCCAGTCCTCCAGATGGCAGCGATGCGGTCGGTCGTGCTCGCGTCTTCGCGGGAGCTCGGCGCTTGCGCGCCGGACGAACGCGTGCTGCTCGCCCAGTTCTCCGCCATCCTCCGCGCGATTACGAGCGGGCTTGAGATTTACTCTGGCCGGCTGACAATTTTGCTGCTCGCGTGCGACGTGTCACTTCTCAACGATCTCTGGCTGCTCCTGGTGGTGCCTGGCTTGAACCGCAACGCCCGCGTCTGCCTTCAAGCGCTTCTGACAAAGCTCTCTCCCACCTTCCAAGCAACCGAAACGGTCGGCCACCTCGTTGGGCTGTGGAGCCGCTTCTATGACGTGTGCCTGTGCGAGATCAACCGGCTCACGGACGACGAGACGGGCGACGCCGACCTCGACGCCGACGCGCGGGGGTTCAGCATCACGATCGAGGTCGGGCCCAGCGTTCCGCCCGTCGCACCGCCAGCTCGACTAGCTCCATGTCGAGTCCGAATCGCGCGCGAGTAATGATGAGTGCCGCATCATGCCCCCGGTCACCGGCGACTGTGCGCGAGGACCGCCCGCGTTTGAAGCTCGCTGACGAGCGACCACTTGCGCTCGCAATGTTGGTGGTCGCGCGGCTCATTTCATGCCGTGGCTTTGGCTGTGGCTGTGGTGTTAAATTTTCTCTATTCACCTCGTCGCACGTCGTCAACCACGACCGGCGTTCGGATCGGGGACGACCTTGGGCATCTTGCGCTTGCCGCCGACGCCGCGGTCGCCCTCCTCGAGCTCCTTGGCCTGGTAGTAGTGGGGCGCGACCTCGAGGAGCCACGACGGGTCGATTTCCGAGACCTGGCGCATGTACTCCTTGGTGGTGAAGACGAGCTCGTGGTACATGACCCATTTCGGCGGGCCGCGGGCGTTGCGCTCGGCGGCGCGGTACAGGGCCGAGGTCGGGTGGATGAGCACCGAGTTGTTGTGCTTGATGTTGCGGTATGAGTCGGCCGACTTGTTGATGCGGCACGCGTGGTAGAAGAAGCCCGCTGTGAACGCCTTTAGGATGGGCACCGGGTGGCCAAACGGGTCGGGCGCCGCCGTCATGGGGATCTCGACGCGCTCCATGAGCCCGACCAGCTGGTCGCGCACGTCGTGCGCGCGCGTCATGCTGCGGTGCTGGATAAAGTTGTCGAAGCACCACTGGACCGAGAAGTTGGTCTCGACCCACTGGTTCCACACGTTGAGCAGCATGACGTGGTCGCCCGACTTGTGGAAGAAGGCCTGCCGCGCCTTGTCGGCGTGCACTGCCTTGTCCTTGGGCCGGTAGAAGATGGAGTTCTGCACGCTGAGCATGGCGACGATCGACACCACCTCCTCGGCGCACGCAAACTGCTCGGCCGCGAGCAGCGTGCGGCTGAGCATCGGGTCGGCGGGGAACTCGGCCATGCGGCGGCCGAGCTTGGTGAGCTCGCCGCGGTCGTTGAGTGCGCCGAGCGCGTACAGCTGCTCGAGGGCGCGGATCAGGGTCTCGGCGGGCGGCGCGTCCATGAAGTCGAAATCGATGAGGTCGTCGATCCCGAGCGACTTGAGCATGAGCACCGTGGACCCGAGGTTGGTGCGCTGGATCTCGGGGATCGTGTTGGCCTCGAGCTCGTTCTCGTACGCCCACGCCGTGTACAGGCGGAAGCACTTGCCGGGCCCGACGCGCCCGGCGCGGCCCGCGCGCTGGTTGACGGCAGCGCGCGACGCGGGCGTCACGATCAGCGACTCCATGCCGGTGCGCGGGTTGTAGCTGGTCTGCTTGACGAACCCCGGGTCGATCACGTACACGATCCCGTCGATGGTGATGGACGTCTCGGCAATGTTGGTCGCGAGCACGACCTTGCGGGCGCCGTCGGGCGTCGCGTCAAAGATCTTGGCCTGCATGTCCGACGGCAGCGACGAGTAGATGGGCGCGATGATGAGCTCCTTGATGCGGGCGCCGAGCGACTTGGTGATGGCCTGCAGCCGCTCCTGCGCGACCTCGATCTCCTCCTGGCCCGTGAGGAACACGAGGATGTCGCCGGGACCCTGGGTGATGTGGATCTGCATGACGGTGGCGACGCACGCCTGCAGGTAGTCGGCCTCGGGCGCCTTGGTGTAGTAGATGTCGACGGGGAACTTGCGGCCGGGGATGTTGAGGATGGGCGCGTCGTCAAAGTACTCGCTGAACTTTTCCGCGTCCATGGTCGCCGACGAGATGAGCAGCTTGAGGTCCTTGCGGAACCGCGCAATGTCCTTGACCAGCCCGAACAGCACGTCCGTGTGCAGCGTGCGCTCGTGCGCCTCGTCGATCATGAGCACCGAGTACGACGCGAGGTCGGGCTCGGTCATGAACTCGCGCAGCAGCATGCCGTCCGTCATGTCTACACACGCGGATGCGAGCGGGGTGAGCCACGAGTCAACGCGTCGCAAGGCCCGAATAGTACGTACACTTGATCACGGTCTTGTCGCTCGTGCAGTCCTCGAACCGGATCGAGTACCCGACCTGGTCGCCGACCTTGCCGCCCATTTCCTCGGCGACGCGCGCCGCGACGGACATGGCGGCGACACGGCGGGGCTGCGTGCACCCGATCTTCTTGCCGCCCTCGGTGTAGCCGGCCTCGTGCAGGTACTGGGTGAGCTGGGTCGTCTTGCCCGAGCCCGTCTCGCCGACGATGATGAGGACCTGGAACTCGTCGAGCGCGTCGAGCAGCGTTTGCCGGTACGGGTACACGGGGAGCGACTCGCGGACCTGCTTGATGGACATGGCTATACGGGGTACGAGGCGGGTCGTGAGTGAGGCGCGCGGGTGCGTGTTTCCCAAACGGAGCGTACCCTTGATCTTGGCGGGATCCACCTCGGCGGCTGGTGGCGGCGCGGCACCGTCGTTGATCTTGGCTTTCAGGATAAAGTCGATGTGCTGCTCCTCGTCAAACACGAAATCGTACTCGTTGGGCTCGTCCTCCTCGCCACCGCGGCCGGCCTTGGCGGCGCGGATCTGGTGCTCCTCCCACTGGTCCTGCTCCGAGACAAAGTTGTTCCGTCCGTCGTCCTGGTACCGGCCGTACAGGGCGTCGTCCATCTTCTTCTTGTCGATCTTGCCGCGCTCCTGGAGGTAGTCCTCGGGCATGGCGTACGCCTGGACCTTACTGTCGGCGTCGGCGCGCATCTTTTCTTCGGCGAGCTGCAGCAGCCGCTCGCGGTACTCGAAATCCTTGCGCTCTTTCGCCGTCAGCTTCACGCCCGCAAACGCCGCGCGCTCCTCCTCGAGCAGCCGCTTCTGCAGGAGGAACTGCTGCTCGCTGCGCTTCTGCAGGTACTCTTGCCGGCTGCGCTCCCGCAGCGTCGGCATCACCTGCTCGCGCGCCGCCGGGTCGTCGGCCAGGTTTCGCCGCCGCTGCGCCGACGCGTTGAGCCGGGACTTGTCCTCGATGAGCTAGCGGAGATGAACGGTCAGCGTCGTTGTGTGGAGACAGGAGCAAAGATGAACGCACCTTGCGCTCGCGCTCCGCGTCCTTTTCCTTGAGCCGCAGGGCAAACTCGTCGCGCTCGCGGCGGTCCTCGGCGCGGCGCCGCTCCTCCTCGTCGTCCTCGAGGTCGCCGTCGCGGTCGTAGTCGCGGCGGCGTTTGACGATGCGGATCCCGCCGTCGTCGTCGCCGGCGTCGCGGTCGCGATCGTCGTCCTTGCGCCGCAGTTTCCGCTTCGACGATTTGCGCTCGTCGTCGCGGTCACGATCGCGGCGTTTTGACGAGGAGGAAGGGGCGGGCGCAGCGGCATCCTCGTCGTCGTCGTCGTCGTAGAGCATCTTGAACGTGTCGTTCTTGGCCAGCAGGCGGCGGGCCTCCTCGTCGCGCTGCCGCTGCGCGAGCTGCGCCTGCTTGTCGCGCAGGTGGGCTTGTGACATTGCAATAGGTGTGTGGTTAATTGGATGATGCGTTCACGATTCCAAGGGACGGGAGGGGGAGAAGATGATCGGCGCGCGCGCGGCGCAGTGGTCGCCGTGGTCGTCGCGTCCACGACGTCCCTCGGCGACAACGACCCAAGACCCTCAAGACCGACCACTGCAAGAGAAATCAAGTATATTCCGCACAACCACATCCGGCGCACCCCCGCTACTTCTTGCCGAACCCGGTGAACATCGTCGGGGCCGCCGCGGACACGGTGGTTCCGAACGAGAAGCCGGATGCTGGTGCGGCCGCGGCCGTCGAGGCCGGGGTCGCGCCGAACGAGAGCATGGGCGTGGCGGCAGCCGCCTGCGTGCCAGCGAGGCCGACGGCGGGCGACGACGCGGGGGCCGAGGTCTGGCCAAACCCGCCGAGGCTGAAGGCCGGGAGCGACGTCGCGGGGGCCGAGGTCGCAGGAGCAGAGGTGGCGCCGAGCGTGAGGGTCGGGGCACCGAACGGCGCGGTGCTGGTGACCGCGGGCGTGCTAAACGGCTTGGCGGCGCCGAACCCGCCAAACGAGCCGAACGTGGAGGCAGTCGTAGCGGCCGCGGGCGCGGCAGCCGAGGTGGCGGGGGCGCCCGGGGCGCCGGCGGGCTGGACGGCGGGGGCAAAGTTGGTGGGCTCGACAAACTGGTTGGCGTAGTCCTTGTACGAGACGCCGAGGTTGTCCTCGTCCATGGCCATGTGGGAGGCGGGCCGCTTGTTGCGGTTCTTCTTACCGCCGACGGCAAAGGGGTTCTTGGCGTCGCCGTAGTACTGGCGGCGGTACACGACGTA